TGTCCCTCCCCCGCTCTAGCTCACTTCTGTGATTTTGTTCACACTGTCCATCCTGGTAGCATCATTTACTCTCTGTGTGTGTGTGTGTGTGTGTGTGTGTGTGTGTCCAACAGCACCCAGATAATTTCTATCCTTTCAATCCCAACCAATCCTTACCTCACCCTTAAAACCATCTCTGACCACTCAATTTTTACAAACCTTGTTCTCCTTCATGTTCCGAGCCAGCTACGGTTGAAACCAGCCCCCCGTGATTGATTACTAAGCCAGTCTCCAAGTGCGCTACAGGGTTTAGCATTGTCTTAGAAATGAACTTGTAAACTCAAGGGCAGGAGCAAGTTGTCTACGACTCATGTGCACTCGGCACCCTAGAATGGCGCAGGCGCACCACGGGAGCTCACAAAAGCTGCAGTGGCTCAGTTTGTAACGTGTTCCTGCCTAGAACCTTTCACGACATTCGCTTTTTTTCCCCACCTTAATGTACAGCTGGAAGTGAACCTGAGGCTGTAGTCTCTCTGCTCTGCTTTGTGTATTAAATTTATAATAAAGTCAAAGACAGATGGCTAACAAGAAACCTTAATTGCCTCTGATATTATTAAATCTTCTAGTTTGAGGCCTTAGAGAGGCCAAGAAAATTTTCTTTTAATCCCCATGGGTTTTAAATTGCATAAATGGAGTTAGAGAGAGCTGGTCTGAAAAGCAATTCCTGGCAATCATTTACCAAAGGGGAGAGGAAAAATCATTACGGTCCTACTGCCAAGGTTTGTAAGTAATAAACACTACGCTCTCTGCAAGCCCAGAAGAGCTGTGTGGGCTCGATAAATAGCTGCGTTTGCCCAAGTACAGTTTTAAACAGATGTCTGTAAATATGGTAGAAAAGCCTCAGAAAGCTGGTGGGTATCACTGAGGAGTGGCTCTCCCCAATTTTGCGGCCAAGCAGGCAGCCGCTGTCCGTCTCCCTCCCATGGAGGAGCAGCCTACTGTTTTGCTTGTGACTGTATTAACATCATGGCCTCTTTTAACGCATTGGTTCTCAACGACACATGATTTGGTCCTACCCCTTGTGCCACCCAGGGGACATTTGACAGTGTCTGGAGAGGTTTGTTTTCATGGCCACAAGTGGCAGTATTTGGGTGCTCTGGTGGGTAGACCCCGCTACCAACATAGAATTAGTCCAAAATATTAGTAGCCTTGGTTGAGAAATCATGATGTTTTCATTTCTGAGCAAGACTTTCCCAAAGAATCACATCCTATTGATTGACTCACCAACTGATTGACTGTTTGGTTCAATGAAACAGAATCTCACTATGGAGCGCAGGCTGATCTTGAATTCACCACGTAACCCAGCTGGCCTTGATCTCCTGATCCTCTTCCTATTGTGTCCTAAGAGCTGGGACCAGGGGTGTGTGCCACCATACTTGGCTTCCAGTATCTTCCTAAGTAAGTGTTGTGTGTGCATGGTTTTCATTCATTCATTTCACGAATTGTTATCCTTAAACCTAGGATGTATTCAACTAGCCTGCAGTGGATTTCTATTTGGGGGTCAATTTGTAGCACTCAACTGGATTGAACTAGCATGGTGCTGGGTGTGGGAAGCCCACCTGAGGACTATCGCCAGCAGCATAAAAGGCCGAGCAGGAGAAGCTGCCAGAACGCTGTTAGGGATGCTGTTTGGAGAAGTTGTTCCAACAGTTGGAGCTGTTGGAAGCCATTGGCTCTCCTGGGCTGTTGTATGTGACCTTGTCATGCTGACTTTCATGATGAGCTTGGCTGTTCTTGTTCGAGGAAGAGAGCAGGACACTCATTGTCTCTAAGAATGGCTATGGTTCATTTTGGGAGAGCTCTGGTGCTCATCTCGAGCACTGCTTCTTGACTCCAGAGGGGAAGATGGTGCACTACTCACCCTCTTGGAGAAGCTTGTTGCATTGGCTTTCCTGATGGGAGCTCGGCTTTCCGCATCATTGGTGGGGCTCAAGACCTCACCGTCACTGAGGACGGCTGTGGTACTTTAGGGGAGCTCTGGTGCTGCCCTCGAGTGTTGCTCCCTGGCTCCAGTTCAGATCCCTCAGTCTGCTAGCACAGATCCTTCATCCTGCTGGCACAGACCTTCTAGCTTCCACTATTGACTTTCAGGCCTTTCCAGCACAGATTCATGAAGTGGGTCTGCATGAGATTTTGTCATGGGGTCTAGGCCTCCAGTTAGACTTGTGGGAGTCATTGTATGAGCTCTAGGTCTTCAGTGGGACTCGTGCAGGATATTAGGATCCAGGCCCTCAGCTGGATTCTTTGGTCTTTAGTATGTGGGCAGATTTCCTGCACTCTTTGTACATGATTCTTTGGATGATTCCTTATAAAATATTATAAAACATACCTTGCATTACATTGTTTCCCTTACAAAACCCCAAGCTATGGCATAGCCATATTCATGTGTTGATAAAAATATGAATTCATTTATGTAACAGGAATTTAGAGAACATCTCCTCCATGACTGGCACAGCAAGGTGCAGGTCTCTCCTCACCAGGCTTTGTCTTCTTGTGGGAGGAATGCACAAATCTACACAAGTCAACAAAGAGCAAGACCTTTTCAAGCAGTGCTAAGTACAGTGGTGAGTATCAACCAAGAGAATGACCAGGAAGACATGGCTCCTCTTACAAAGTGGCATTAGCGAAGGCTTTTCTGTATAGATTTTATGTGTGTGTGTGTGTGTGTGTGTGTGTGTGTGTGTGTTCATCCTTGGGATACTGGACCTTGAAGGCAGGGCATCTTCACGAAGCTACTAGCCGGGCCTTTCCAAAATTTAGGTGGAGACAGGGTCTCACTAAGTTGCCAAGTTGACTAGTCTGGTCTTGAACTCACAGGAGTCATGGAATGAATAGTTGGGAATTCCGTTGCCATGGTAACAGAGGGACTGCTTTCAAATACAAGAAACAAGAACCCATTGGGTCCACTGGACTGTCTCTTGGATTTCAGTGCAAAAGACTGATCGGGTCCTTTGTGCTTTGAGGTTAAGAATAAGTCCCTTCTCTTCCCCCATGGGAGGCGTCTTCTATTAGCCCTGGTCTAAACTATTTCCTGTTTCTTTCTTCCCTGTCTCCATGGATGCCAGCTCTTCACTATTCCACTGAGATGCCACAATGAGCCATACTTAATGATTCATTAAATTAAATACATTTTCAGGAAAACTATAACAAGAGGCTAACCATCTTGGCAATTACACCACAAAAAGTATGCATTCACGTCCGATTTGATTTAGCAATAAATTGAATCACAGTGAGCATCCGCAAGACAAAAGGAAAAAAAAAAAGACTGGAAGGAAGCAAACCAAATGCTAATGGCATTATCCTTTTCTGGAATGTGGATGTGCTATTTCTTCTTCGCTCATATTTCTGGCTAATTCGGGAATTTCCTGTAATGACTATGTATTTCTTGTCTCAGAAGAATCATGGTTCTGGAATGGCTGGGTTGTTAAAGACCATCTCCGATACTCCAGCACCGAAGAGGGAGACACACACGTAGCTCTGGCGCACAGATCCAGCCAGTTGTGTTGGATTACAGAGTTCGCCAGCCAAAAGCCTTCAGGGAGGAATCGCACCGTTGGGGAAGCCAAGTAGCAGCAGCTTCTTCCTGCCACACTCACTATCTGTCCCATAGAGCTTTGTGTTTCCTACATCTTTGACAGGTGCCTCTGGCTCCCAAAAGTTAATTAAAAGATAGTCTTCATGCCATAAGGAACCTTACCCATAGAATATGTAAAATAAATAAACATTTTCTATAGATCATATAATGGTTTTTAGATTCCTTCTATGAGAGACAATGTGGTGTTTTTCTTTCGGAGTTTGGCTTATTTCACCTAGCATCTTGGTCTCAAGCTAAATCCATTTTTCACAGGATGACATGGTTTTGCTCTGCTTTATGGCTGAATAATATTATATAAGTATACCACATTTCTTTATCCATTCACCTGTTGATCAGGTTGCCTGGTTCTTTGGGGAGTCCCCATGCTGATTTGCATAAAGCCTGTAGTACTTTACATTCCCCTCAATAGTATAGAAGGTTCCTTTCTCCCAAGCAGAGGAAGAAACGATGAGGGGAGTCATGGGGGAGGGTGAAAATAGTCAAAGTGTGCTACATGCATGTATGAATACAAAACAAACCCGTTATTCTGTATAACTAATATACACTAATAAAATAAAAAAAGAAATATTTAGGGTTCTCATGGCTCCCCAAGTCAAGGTTCTAGAAGCCCAACTTAGATGATTTCTTAGGGAGACATCTCTTGGAGCCCAGACTGCACCCTTCATTTGTCCTCCAGGAAGTGCCCTGCTGAACCCCAATGCTGTCCTTCCTTCGTGCCAAGGATCTTCTGCACCATGCCCCCTGCAAACACCGCAGGAACCCACGGAACAAGCTCACACTCCAGCATCCTTGAAGGTGACTTCAGTGTCCTTAATTTTATTTCATGATCAACAAATGTCTTCAAATACAATAGCTTTTGGCATCTCCATTAATTCAAACACTCAATCCAACACCAGACCCAACAATCCAGCAAGTATTACAGTTTCCAGTATGACAGCTGTCAATGTCTCCTAGGAGCTCAGCAAACCAGCTCAGTCCAACACGCAAATCATTTCAACTCTGAGCTGTTGTGAGCCCTGAACTTGATCTTTTCTATAAACCCAAAGTGATGGTACTCATGACATAGTAATAATACATACACTCTCTTATGCCCTGGGTGCATTATATGCGCCCCCACTGTCAGTAGCCTGCCAGAGAAGAAAGGGGGACTGACAAAGGTGTTGCATCCGGGTCAATGGTTTGAAAGCCACTGAAGAGCTTCAGATGATTCTTATAGCCAAGGCCCTATCCAAGTGGACAGTGATTATTAGGATTGGCACTTAAAACAAACTCAAAGAAAAGTCATTAGCACAAGATTGTACCTGGCTGCCCATATCTGTGTGGGCTAAGAGCAGAGGTTGCCTAGGGAGGAAAACCCCACTCTTACCTCCTCCAGGGCCCACAAGGAGTCTACCACCGGCTTGATCTTCTTCTGGTTGTACAGCCCTAGGAGTCTGTCCACCACTCTTCGAATGAGGCCCGCGCGGCCCTGTTTGAAGAGCAGGTTTAAGAGGGAAAACCCCGCGATGACTTTGTTCTCTTCATATAGCTTGATGGGGTTCACTTTCTCCACCTGCCACCACTGGAAGGAGAGATGGTGCTGGTTACAGACTCCACTCGGGGTCATGCCAGAGGCATTGCCAATATTATCAGCTACTGCAAAAGGGGCATGGGGACAATTCCACCTGGCCTACAGTGGTTCTTGGTGCTTTGATTTTTATTTATTTATTTATTTAATGTATTTAGTACAGGATCTATAGAGTCTCACTACACAGATTGGACTTGTAGTGATTCTCCTGTTTTCAGCCTCTCAAGTGCTGGGATTACAGGTGTGTGCCACCAAGCCTAGTCTCAATCGCTGTCTCAGTGTGCCCCGGGGGCAGGGCTGGCACCACACTCCGGGGATTGAACCCTGACTGCTGTGCTCTGCCTAAGCAGGCGCTTTAGTCAGCTGAAGTATCTGACCAACCCTTGAAAATCTAAACCTTTTGAGTGTCACAGAAGAAATTCAGCAGTCCAACTGTACACATGGAGTAAATATTGTATAAAATTATCTTTAGGATGCTGTGGATAAAACGCACATAACACTATCATGAATTCTGTGTTTCGAACCAGACTTACCTCCAACATGCCTCATCATATATGTGTAAATATCTCGTCCTCAAATTCCAAAATCCAAAACAATTCTGGCCCCAAGCATTTGGATGAGGGATGCTCGACCTGCACCAGGCCATACGCACTTGAAACATTAGGCACGTGCTTAAGGCCACCAGCTCTGGAGCTGGCTCCTGGCTGTCTACTTACTTCCTGGTGTTCTGCATCTTTGCTTTGTTTTTCTCAGCTGATTGCAGTGACAGGACACAGTTTCTTACTTTTTCAGGGAAAAGGAAGTGTAATGCGTGTGGTGGTGATGATGGGGCCAGCTAAATAAGCAGGATATAAATATTGGGGGTGTGCATGGAGGTGACCCCATGATTACAGGAGCAAATTTCCTGAGAGAGGAAAAAATGGCAAGAGCTCGCCTAGGTCACTGGCTTGCCCCAGTTGACTTGAGTGAAAAGGAATTGTCTTGGCTATATACGATACATGCTACGTGATATATGACGTATGATATACAATATATAGTATAAGGTATAGGGTATATGATATACTTAATGTACCTAAGTAACATAACTGCCTTTGTTTTAAAATAATTTTATCATAACCATTTCTTTTTTTTAATTTTATTTTTTAAATTATTTTTTGACAACTCATACAGAATTTTTCTTAACAAAGCAATATGAATTTCACAGTATTTGTTGTAATACATGGTATTGTCTTACAACCAGCTATTCATATTACCAGATATATACACATAAAACTGGAAGAAGAAAAAACTGGAGCAATGTATAAGAAATTAAGAAAAGAAAAAGTACAAACAATTGAAGAAAAGGGGACAGAGCTAATTAGGGCATTGACTGCTTCTATTTCCATTTTTTTTTCTTTTTTAAAAATTTAATTTATTTATTTATTTATTTGTCCTGTCAGAGGTGACTATTCTATTGGCATCTAAATACTATATGTGTTTGAATTCAACTAAACATCTAATAGTGTCTAGCAGTCTATAATATTATAGGTGGGTTATCCTCAGAAGTTATTGACTTGAGCCTTTTACAGCTCATCATATTCATATGGATTTACTTTATATACTTCGTTTTTATACTTTTCTGCTGGATGGTTAAGACCAAGATATAGCAAGACCTATATACCCAGAATTGTAACTTTTGTATCTGATAAGGTCAGCCAAGTACTCTCAGGATTTATCCTGTAGCCCTGTACAACCTTTTGTACATTCTTTTGTCAGTGTCTGACCTGAATCATAACCATTTCTTAAAACAAGAACAAGCAGCTCCCAGACACATTTGGACCTGGACAATGAGGTAGGACTACTGGGTAAGGAAGAGCAGGAAAGGGTGGTTTAGGGAGAAGAAACAGCGTGAAGGTCCATAAAGCCCAAGGGCAGGAACCAGCTGTGGTTTTGCACTGGGGATGGCTTCACCCCCAATAGACTCTTGCAATGTTGTGGGGGATACTGCTGGCTGTGCTTACTGGGAAGAGGGGTGCTGATGGCATCTAGTCTAGAAGTCAGGCACGGTGCTGATCGTCTACAAAGCCCAGGACAGCCTGCAGGGCAAGGAACAGCCCAGCCCCAAATATCTGCAGCTGCTTGTGCCACTGAGCTACGCTCCCAGCCCTTGGCTCTGTGTTGATCTGATAGCTTTTCCTCTAGGGCTGGTATAGGTTAGATACTCAGACTTCTAGTTTCTGGGAGTGTTTTAATAGGCAAAATGTTTACTCTGCTTGCAAAGCAAAGAAAAAAGTAAGGATCACCTCAGAACAGTCACATATTTATGTTAATGATAGGATTATCTGTATTCTGTCTCTTTCCGAAAGAATTGAGTAGGGTCATGAAAGTAAAGAACAACAGGAAGAACACCACCACCTTTTAAATTGGGAAAGTCATGTTTGAGCAGCAAGCATGGAAAGACAGGCTGAAAACAAGGATGTGTTCATACACAAAATGCTTCTCCAAAATACATCTGGCAAGGGCACACGGGAAGTGGGGGCGGTTCAGCAAGAGCCACCCTGAGCTTCTTGCCACAAAGCAAAGGTAGAAAGATGACCAAGAGCTTGACCTGCGGCTTGTGTGCTGTGTGTGTGGACAAGTGCTTGCCAGATCTGCAACGCTCGTGCACTCGGCAGCTAAGAGGATTCTAGAGCTGATGCTATCTACTAGCTGTGGGACTTTGGGCGAGGACTATGACCTCTCAGTGGTCGCCTTCCTCTCTGTACCTCAGGGGGCCACTGTGGACAGCAAATGTGAGTATGCGTATCATGTGCTCCGACCAGCGTCTCATCTGCTGGGCACTCTACAGACAATTTTCATTCGTTTAATTTGAAAGGGACGATTTTGATTGTGTGAACAAGAGCTCCAACGCTGGACTCAGACCGCTCTCTGAATGGGAACCTCATCTGTTTGTCTCATTATCAATATGGCCTGAAAGCAAATGTCTCATAGAGTGCAACCAAAGCTCTGCAGCAGTGCTGAGATGGAATGAAGGGAAGGTGGTGAGTGAGAAATCTCTGGATGATTCCAACTCTGCCTGTCTTGAATGTACAGAGAATTCTGTTCTAGAACCTCTCAGGGAAGGGCCATCTTTCCACTCCTTGGCAACGCCCTCTCTTCGATTTACTTCTAACCCACTGACTGGCCTGGAGTCAGGCCTCTGATGGGAAAAGGTCCTTGACCCAGGCCTCCGGCTACCAGGCATGATGGGTGCTCCTGATCTGGCAGCAAATCTCCACGTCCTTCTAGGCTGCGTTCTATGAATGTCATAGTAAGCGTGGCACACTGCAATTATTCCATTAGCAGTGCATGCTGGGATCGTGCACTTAGGGGACAAGGAAAACGTTTCTTACAATTGTGTGTAATTTGGGTATCTACAGCACTCTGGCGGCAGCATACTAATGACACCCCCAGCATGAACAGCTGTGAGCAGCACAGAGCCTGTCTCTGGGATCCTGAGGCCGACTGCATGCCTGTCTAGGCTCCACTCTGGCACCTCCTGCAGACCCTTTCATCCAAATGGTCCTCGACCCAGACTTCAAAGCCCCGGTGCCAGAAGAGGCCTTGAGATTCTAGTCTCCCGGGTGCAGGCAGGAGTGGTTTTTTAGCCTCCAGGAGTGTCTTGTGGCTGCCGGTGCTGGTGTTCAGGATGCACACAAATGCCACACCACACCACACTTACAACAAAACCTAATCTTCCTGCCGTTCCCCTGACCACTCTATCCCAAAGGCCTCTGTCACATCCTGCTGTTTTCTAGCTCAGCACCTGGTTTCATCCTCTCCTGAGGTCTGGCAGCCACTTATATCATGTGATTAGCATAACCGATATATGCTTAGTTTGTCTCCCTCCTCAGAACATACGAACCACGTGGGCCCACACACACCTCATCGCAGTCACTGTGACACCTCATTGCCCAGGGCAGTGGCACAAACAGTGCCCAGAAAATGCTTGCAAAGAGTAAGGTGCACCTAGTGCTTCTCTGACTGCACCAGAGGCTGAGGACCAAGAGGACAAAAGCCACCCTTGGACAAAAGCCACAACAGCAAGCAGTGGTCTTGCTGTGAGGTGTGGGGCAAAAATAAAAACACAAGCCTAGATTAATTAATTCGAGCATGCTTAGCTCTAGATGGGAATTTACAACTGAGTAGGTGGATAGTGGGACAAATGCCCAGAGGTAAGACTTCTCAGGGACAGGCAAGGTGATCACGTATGCAGACAATGGTAAAGTAGTGGGATTCCCCATTTGCATCTTGACCTCAGTAGAACAGGGACACAGAAATTGCTGAAATTCCCATAGACCTGGTCAGAAAGTGGCAAACTGAAAGGCCGCCCACCATATGGGACAAATAAAATGCACTGTTGCTAAGTTCATTTTGGTGTAATGATTAAAAACACTAAGCACAGTCTCAGTAGAAATCAAAGCAAAGCTTTCCTGGGTTTCACTGGTCCCCCAGGTCCTGGCCCTGCCCCACAGGCTTCATTAACATGAATGATGCAAATTGTCAACAAGCAAAATTGGGTCAGTTTCTTGGGAGGGAGGAACAAACAATCTGCAAGTATACTTACTGATTTTGCAAAGCTGAAGAAACTCTTGGTCTCTCCAGTTACCATGTTGGAAGAACCTGCAAAGGAAAGATTCGCAAATCAAGCCAGTGAAAACCAACATCACTTGGTAACAAAGATCTATTTGATGTCAAATCAGCAAAACCAAATTTAATTCCTTCAGAAAAATGAGGGAAGTGGGAGCGGGATATGAAGCTGACTAATTGAGCTCAATGTGATTGGTTCAGAGGAAGTGGCATTTGTCAGCATGACTGTTTCATTACTTTAAAAAACTGGGTATGCAGGAAAGGGTGATTTGAGCTAATATTTTAATGACATGCTAGGATGCTTAAATGTCTTCCTGGTTCTGTTCTTGGAGACTTAGAAATGAACTCCAGGAACCTACATTATGGATCTGATTCTCAGGCAAACTAGGGACTTGCAGCTCAGATCTAGATGGGTCACTTCAGTGATGGGGGAAAGGGTGGAAGGAATCTGGCAGAATAGAAAATGAAGTACAGGAGAAGGCAAATGCGAGTAGACAAAGGGTCAGACGACAAGAAAATGGAAGATTTGGGCAGAGAGCTGAGAACCACTTGAGTTCTGTGTATATGAAAGTTTCGTCAATTAGAACACACAGTTTCCAGTGGCAGACAGTGGGTGGAGTTGAGAGAGTCTCTAAGATGCTCAGACAGAGAGAAAAGATTCCTTCTGGGGCTCCTAGGGTGGGAGGCGGAGAGAACCTTTAACAATACTGTGAACATGCAGATACCATGTTGAAGCCTTTTCAATGATTTTCCTGGTTCGTTCCCTGGAACTGAAGTGTAAGTTCTTAGAGAACAGTTATTTAGGGAAACAGTAATGCATATTTTAAATTTAATTACTTGGACCTAGTAAGCTAGTAGCAAGTTAGTTAACTATTACTTCTGCTTCTGCGGGGTTACCATCACCAGACATCAATCTGTAACATTGTAATCGAGGGCCAGGGATATGGCTCAGTGGAATAAGTGCTTCCCTGGCAAGCGCAAGGGCCTGAGTTCAAACCCTGATTCCACCAAATATATGGTAATCGAGTTATCTATGTCATGAAATAGACACTTGTGAGATAATTAAATCAAATTTCGCTAAAGTGAGATCATAGAACCAGGGCAAAAAGTAACTCCCAGCAACTGGTAGGTAATGATGAATAAATTGTCCATCAGCAGTTTGTCAATCATATCTTTTATCCTTATAAGGTTCTCTGGCTTTTGCTGGCTCCCTTGTTGTTGTTATTGTTGTTGTTGTTGTTGTTGATGATGATGATGATGATGATGATGATGATGATAATAAAATAATTATGTATCTACTTCTAAGAAAACATAGCCACAATAGAAATTATCAGAACATTGTAGCAATGGGTGTTTACCCACCTCTAGAGAGCTCAACTTTCTTTTTATGATAATAATCTGATGATGACAAAAAGATATTTATCCCTCTGAAATATTTCTTTTATAAGTTCTTCAGCTAATAGCAGGAAAATGAGTATTTTTTCCTGAGCTATATAGAGTGAAGGCTCAATTTCTATTATCCCTACAGGGCACAGAAGTGCCAAGAATTGCAAATATCATAACTTCATATCACTCTGCTTTGGGAAATGACAACTGGCTTCCTGTGTGCCCCTTTGACCTTGTGGAGGTTGGTGCTTAAATTAGCTTGCAGACCTGAGATAAGAAGAAGGTGAAGAGGAGGAATGATGGATGCCACGGAGTCTTATTTTGCTGCAGAAAACTTGTCCCAAATGTTCCATAAATCTCCTGCACACTCAAGAGCATAGGCATGGGCAGCTGTGGTGGACACGTACTCTGCCCAACCCTGGCATGTCTTGATGGATCCATCAGAACAGGTGTAGTGGAAAGAGAGCTAGGCTCTGCCTTCTCATCAGCAGTGAGGACGAATCCCTTAAGTCTTCCACCTCCTAACCACCTTCTTCCATCCTACTGTGCATCCTTTATGCCTTTATCTTTTAAACTCCCTTTGAAGCTGCTGGCATTTTCCACCTGTTCAACCCCCGTGGCTCTCCATTCCATCATGTTTCTGCTCATCCGCATTCCTGCATTGGCTCAGCCTTGCTATGGCCCTTTCCAAACGATAAGCTATAGGGCAATATGCATCTGAGTTATTTTTGAAATGACTACAACTAACAGTAATATCAATTTATTAAAAATATTTTTAAAAATCACTCTTCCACACACACAATCCCACCAGCTCAAATTAGTACATTTCACTTTTCCAAGCTGTCTCTGGCACAAATGTAGTGCTTCTGTCACTGGCCATCTCTTTCCTGCTTCTGTGTGGCACTCACCATATAAAATGTAGGTCCCAAGGGGCTTCAGAAGGCTAAGACCTTTGCCTGTGTTGTCCCCACACAGGCAATCCAAGACGATGTCCACACCTTCTGCAGAGATTCTAAATGGTGAGGAGACAAAGAAAAATATTGTAACCTCCTAGGAATAAAACCATGGGCCCTTTCCATTCTTGGGTCCTCTCACTTCAGCCCCAGAATCAGTAATAGTGTACAGGGAGGTGAGCTTGTCCTTGTAGTCTAACTCCCAATGATCCCCACCTTGTCATGGGGTGATGAGTTAGCTGAAGATATCCTGAGTTGAAAATGCATTAATTCACCCAACTCACAGCTTAGCAACACAGGTCTATGCACAGCCACACTCTCTGCAGACAATTAGTGGTTTATCTTCATGATCAGCTGGCTGAGAGGAACTGAGATTCACTGCTCTCGCTCAGTGTTGTGAGCAAGGCACATTGCTAGCCCCGTAAAAGACCAGAATTTAACATCTGAAGTATGAGTTCTACTCAATATTGCTTTCACACACACTTAAAGTGAGAGAGTCTGAAGTCAACCATTGCAAGTCAAAGACTTTCTGTGTAAGATTTCCCAAAACTAGAATAAGCTAAGATTCTAGTTGGCATCTGATGCCAGGAACCAGTGTGTTGTAGGTAGGTACCCAAGGTCACTGGAGTCAGAGGGTCTGACTTCGTACCTTGATGCCTCACCCAACTTCTGAGTCTTAGCTTTCTCCTTTGTAAAGCAGAGCCATGTAAGAAGAGAATGCTTGGCTGAGGCTCACCAGAGAACAGTTATTCAGTAAATCAGTTAACAATTCCTATTTGTGAAGCCAACAGTGATTTGCCAGTCTCTGTCCAAGGTGCTGAGATAGAGTCAGGCTCCCAATTAACATGTTGGTGTATTCAATGGGGATACTGGTCTGGCAGGGAGGCACACTGAACCCAACTGTTAAGTTTCTATTCAACTAATTTCAAGGTCCAATCTATCCAATCGATGTATAAAGTAAGAAGATTAAGTAGACAGTCTTCTGTTGATGATGGAAGGTTGTATGGTAGGCAGAACTCACATTTGAACTCCAGCAGACAGATTAAATATTGGCTGATCTCTATTCAGTTCTTTATACAACCATTGGTTCCCTCATTGAATGTATTGAAGAAATGCTTACTAGGCTTCCACTTGTATTACGGGGGGACATCCTGCCCACAGGGATCCCAATTGTGGCTAGCTCTACCCTGTTCACAAAGGGTGATATTTTTTCAAGTCTGTGAACATGCAGAATCATCTTATCCTAGCAGATAGCTTCATTTTTTTTTCTACCCCCACTCAATTCTAGTGAAATCTAGGTCCCATGAGGCATGGGTTCAGTGTCTCTTGTGTTACTAGCTGGGAAACTGCATGTTAAGTTCCGACACTCACGTGGCTGCTATCCTGTGTGTCTGGAGAGCCCTTCCCTAGCTGGCTTTAGCGTTGGCCTCTCCTCACCGCTCAGGTCTCCCACCCACCTAGCCTCCCCGGAGGAGCTGTGACCAGCCACTTCATGCACCTCATTAGGAGCAGCAGGTCTCCCCCCCACTTAAGTAATCCTTGCTTTGCTTCCCTTTAGGCACCAAAGTCTGCACATGGAGGACATTTGAGTCACAATTACAGGCAGCAATTATTTTGCTCGTTTGCTTATTTATTGACTGACTTTTCCACTAAAACATAAGTCTGTGACTCAGGGACCATGTCACTGATGTTTATTGCTATATCCAGTATTATTTTCAAATTGCTTTCTTCATGGTGGACATACATTGATTCCCAACAAATATTGCTTGGTTTAACGGATGGATAAAAAGTGGAAGAAAACCCTGTAAGGCTGGTGTCCTACGTGTGTCCCTTCGCCTACTGGAAAGAGACCTCAATTTCAGAGCAATTTTATCCTTAATCCTCACAGTGATTCTGTGGGGCTGGAATCTGAACTCCACTGTACACTGAGGCTTACAGCTGGAGCCTCCTCCCCTGCGCTTATGGAATGCACACAGCTGGAATTCAAACACAGATGTAGTTTAACTCCAAACCTGATGGTCTTTTGACCACTCTGAACTGAAAACTTCACAGACCTTCAAGCCCATGTACTGACGGAAGCATCACCTTCCCAGGCAGCTCTGGGAGGCAGTCTATTGAGTTTCATCTTTGAAAGATTCAGGATTAAATGTTGTCTTAAATATGCGCACATCTGGATTTGGACCTTGTGGCTCCTCACATGGAGGTTAAGCCATTTCTGTTTTCCAGAGAGCTCCACCATCCCCCCATGACCCTCCCATCAGATGACAGCAGTCAGAGTCACACATGTGTGGCCTAAAGCTTTAGCCACCAACAATCATTTTCTGAGTGCTTGCTTCATGCTGGACACGAAGTCTCCAGTTCACCCTAGTCCAGGAGTCTGTGGGCCCAGGCGAGCGCTGTGGTTGGAGTGTCCACCCCCCCACACCCACCTGTAACGTGCTGCATGCTCAGTCGTCACTGTAATAGTACTAGGAGGTGGGACTTAGAGCAGGGGTTAGGTCATGGGGACTCTGCCCCTATGAATGGACAGATGCTGGTGTCACAGATGTGGGCTTATTACCATGGAAGTGGGAACCTTAGAAAAGGCCGAGGAAAGCTCCCTCTTGGGCCTGTCTTTTGTTTCTCTTTTTTTAAACACAGGGTCTTAAGGGCCAGCCAAATAACACAGTGGATTAGGGCCGAGGTCTGATCCCCAGGCCTGTTGTGCCAGCCCTGCCCCTGGGGCACACTGAGCCAGCAATTGAGACTGGGCGTGGTGACGCATGCCTATAATCCCAGCTCTTGGGAGGCTGTAAACAGGTGGATCACTATGAGTCTGATCTAGTAGTGAGACCTTGAACACCCTGTAGACCCTTCTCTAAAATACACACACACACACACACACACACACACAAGACAGGGTCTTCCTGTATAGTTCAGGCTGGCCTTGAACTCACTGGGTAGCTGAGGCTGGCTTTGAAATTAAAGCAATCTTCTTGCCTCTGCCTCCCAAGTGCTTGGATTATAGGCATGTGCCACCAAACCAAGTTTAGTTTAAGTCTTCCTATGTTTCTTTTCTGCTGTAAATGTTCCTCCCTCTAGAGGATACAGTGTTCAAAAAGCCACCTTGTAAGCCACGATGAGGCCCTTATCAGATGCGCAACCTGCTGGTGCCTTGGTCTTGGTCTTCAGCCTCCAGAAGAGTGGGCAAAGCAGTCTCTGACCATTCCCCATCACCCAGCCTGTGGCATCCTTTTATGGCAGAAAAAAAAAAACAAAAAACAAGACAGGGCGACAGGAGTAAAGATAGACACAGACCACTGCTCTGTTACAGCAGCTCAGGAACTTGGGAAGGTGACATCTTTTGTGATGTTGATGGATGAGCAAGGATTGGCCAAGTGACTGTTGGAAAGCATTTCCCAGAGAAGAGAATAACGGTGTGAACTAGAGGCTGGGTCAAGGCTTTGAGACGCCGACCAGGGCTGAGAGGAGTCTTGTCACCTGTGTCCTTCCAGAAGAACTCAGAGGCTGCTGCTGTAGCCAACAGCTGACATGGAGGTAGGCAGGCAGGGGGCTTAGGCTCATGAATTTTGTCTCAGCCGAAGGCACTTAGTTCTGGCACTATGTGCTATGTGACCTCGGGAGAGCTGTCTGTGCCTAGATTTCTTCCCTCATGAAAGGGGACGATGATGACCTACACTCAGGGATGTCTCTGTGAATGGGTGCAGGTGGAGTTTAGAACCCAGTGCATGACAATCACTGGGCCCATCAGTGGCTTTTATTACCTTTTGTCAGAATGGCCCAGTTTCAGAGGATCTTTTGGTTGGAAGAAGGGATTGAAAAGAAAGAGTGTGAAGAAGCTCAACAAACAAACTATTGTGCCCAAACAGCCTTCAGGGTGTGTGGAAGCCTAAACCCAGAAACCAACAGAGCCAAGCTGGGTCCCCTCGTCCACCCTGGGCAGCATGTTTCACACTCCTGAGCACCTGTCAGTTCCCAGGCACAAGGCAGAGAAGTACTCTGGCAGGCACCCACCATTCATGCCTTGTGCAAGTCCGTGATTCCCAGGCTGTCATTACTCCCCTTGGATGAAAGAAGAAGCCACTGAGACTTGGAGACTTATCCAGAGCCCACAGTAGAGGGTGGGCGGGAGGGCCTGCGCTACATCTGTTCACACCAAGAAACCCAGCCAAGGGACCGGGGAGATGGCTCAGTGGAATAAGCGCTTCCGTGGTAAGTGCAAGGGCCTGAGTTCAATCCCCAGTTCCGCAAAAAAAAAGAAAAAAAAGAAACCCAGCCAGAGCCACAGAATCATGCAAGGGTTTCACAGGGTGAGCTGTGGCCAGCTCAAGCGAGCCACCACTGTTACCTCTAGGCCATGTGAGCTCCTAGGGACAGCTGAGCAGAGCTGGAAGCTGCTCTATTGCATGTCCCCTGCAAAAGACAGAGACTTCCTGTGTGCTTGGGCACCTGCCCCTCTCCATGCCTCTCTTGGCATTTCCACAGCTGAGCCACAGAGCTGCACATAGCTGAGGGTCAAAGAAGCCTCACCGTCTCCCTCCAGCTGTCACTGCGCCTTTTTGAAGGTCTGGAGTGAGAGAAGGCGGGAAAAGTTAGGCAGAGGCAGACATCAATGCCATGGTCTGCAGGTTGAGGATGCTGGCATTTTAGATCAACTGTCCAAGCAGCCGGTGATCGCTCCTTTTGAGAGTAGAAATGTTCCTTCAGGTCAGAGTTTCAAAATTAAAGAGTGCTCCCTTCTTTTTCCATCAAAAATTGGTCCTATGAGGATGACAGCTTGTCAGAGGTGCATGAACATCCTTATTCCAGTGTCCCCATTTCCAGGTAACTTGGTGCAGTAATTATGTAGAAAAGAGGTGGCTGGCAGAGCCAAGGGCAGTGGCTTCTGGCCCACTGTCTCCTGCTTGTATCCACATCTACAGATGTAAAGTCAAAGAGCCCATCTCAGGAGCCCCCTGGGCCAAATACAGAAGCTCTGGTGGAATTGCTGACCCAAGGCCTTGGTGTGTGTACCTCCTTTGTCCTCAGCCCTGGACTTCTATACTGAACGCTGCCTGTG